CGGCGATTCCGCAGGTGGGAAAGGGAGGCTGACCTCGTGACCCTCCTCCTGCCTGCCCCTGGGCACCCGCCACCAGCCTCGATGACGTCATGGGCCGTGACGTCACTCCCCTGCCCGCCCCTCCCGCGGAGACCCGGGAAGCCCGCACGGGGGACCTTCGGGGACGGGGCTTCCCCGGCGTTCCTCGCAGGGACAGAGGGATTAATTCCCTCTATCGGCCCTTCTCCGCCCCGCCGTGCAGGGGGGAGAAGAGCTGCTTGACTTGCGTAGGTAACACGGGCAAAGCACCTCTGCCCCCCGCGAAGCTCTGTGCATGGGGCTCCCCAGTTCTGCTGTCTTTGCACAGCAGCCGAACCCAAAAAGCGGGGGCCCAGTTTTATATGCGCAGCCCCCGGGCCCGGTAACTCTTAAAAATTCAGTCTTAGCGTTCCCGTTTAGCCTGAACTCTCGGTGGACACTATTTGGGGTTTACGGAAATTTGCAACCAAGCCTTGTTGTAGGGTGACCCCCCAAAAGGGTTAGATAGATAGAAACAGACAGGTACACACCTCTTGCTGCAGGATAAACGTGTGTGGCTTCCTGATAAAGGTGTGGATGTGACGTGCACGTATGTGTGTATTTATGTATACGGTTTATCCACCAACGCCAGGCTTTGGGACTCTCAGCCGTTCACAGGAAGAGCGACAAAAGAAAAATACGTTTCGAAATCTCAGTAGCGAAATTCTAAGATCGAATTTTAAAAATGCACATGTAGATAAATGTGTGTGTGTGGGGGGGTATCTATCCATGTGCACGCGAGCATAATAAGACGATAGTCTCACTGCGAGGACTTTAAAACAACCATAGGAATGCTTCAGAAACCCGTCACACAAAAGGCTATTAAAACATTGTCCCTCATTCCGCAGTGCTGCAAACTCCCAAAACGTGATGGTGCCCATTACGTGAATGTTTCCGTTAGCAAAGGACTCTCTTGCTGTGAGAAATCACGGGAGGGGCATTTAATTTTTCAATTCCCACCTGCCACTTGCATTAGGCCAGTGTTTCTCAACCTTAGCAACTTTAAGACGGGTGGACTTCAACTCCCAGAATTCCCCAGCCAG